CTGAGCCTTTGTGGAGGCTCACAGATTTTTCCAACAGGGTGTTTGAGATAGGGGTGTAAAATGTAAGGCAGCTAGGCTGCAATTTCACATGCACATGAAAAAATCAAAAACCAGAAAATGGACTGTTTCCAAATTGAAATATGCCAAGGGTTTGACCTCTTAAAGGTAAACCCACTGTCCACCAATTTTGTTGGGCTGGAATCAACAAAGAATTTAGGAAGATGAAAGTACAAAGTTGCTCAGCCTTTAACGGCTGGATCCTCCAAATGGGAGACCCACAGGCAACTGCAGAAGGAAATCTACAAGACTTTCACACACACTCTCAAACATCAATCAGACAAGACAGAGCTCTCAGCAGGAATAATCCAACAACCACTGTCAGACAATGCCATTGAGGAAAGTGAAGTCCTTGGAGACTTTGCTGGGCTTTGTGCCATTTCAGATCTTATCATTAATCACCCAGTTTGCTGCATTGCAGTAAACCTGGTGCCAATCTGCTTCTGGGTCAGTGGGCTGCTACATGTGACATAGGCATGCCCAAGCAAGGATGTTGCACTCAGGTCACGCCGTGTATATGCGACCCCACAAATATGGCATATGTTAATATGCTGCAGTTTCTCATGAGATTGGTCATAGGCAAAAATTTTTTCAAATGTTTGAACTGAACCTCGTTGGATAGGCAGGACAGGGATGGATTGGACAGGGTTTTGGAATATTTTTATGTCTAAATTTTGCATTTGGAAACTGGAATAAAATAACTGCGGTATTTTTTTCAAACGTTTGCATCAGAATCACTCTTGGACTCAGGAAGTCTCTGAATTCTTCTGTAGGTAAATTAAAGTCAAAAATCTATAATTATCGTTTTTATAGCGACTGTAATAAAATGCGTGTAATATACAGTAGATAGCCATCAGGAAGGTATACATATATACTGAGTAATTTTCAACCTTTTCATGATTGCAATCTAACTGATGCCATATCTTTATATTCAATTGCAGTATGTAATTTTTTGTCAACAAGACATTTTCTTGACCATGATGAAACTAGCGGAATTCTTGAATACATTGACCCAAATGCAAAAAGTTTGAATCATTGCAAGGATCCAACTTTATTTTGGAAGTTCAAGTATGCGCATTTTTGTTGAAAATTTCATAAAATTGCGTCAGAGGTCATTTTTGTTCCTTTTTTGAATTTGCTGTTGATTTTTGACACAGCATGAAATGCTTATCCTACGAAGTTCCGTAGAATCAAAAATTTTAGGACATTTTTTCAAAATAACAATGAAAAAATCCGATTGCAATTTTCTAAATCATCTTGATTTGAAGCAAAAACTTCTCGCAGCAATACGTTGGTATAGTATATTCAAAATGTGTATTTCTAATGGAGTATAGTTAGGTGCACAAACAATGCGCGTTTCTCTATTCCATCTTATTTTGCAATTCCTACATAATTGTTGTTATCATTTTCCTCTTTTCTGCTTATATGTGAGAAAAAGATATGTCAAGTAGACAAACTCACAAAGCTGAAAATGTGATATAGAATGGATGAAAAATTAGAAAAGGAAGTGATTGAATTGAAGATAAGAATTGAAGTTCTTTTCACGAGAGTAAAGTGTTAAAGTTATGAATATGAGTTCAGTAAATCAGCTGGGACAAAGTCCTAGTTTGAACGAGTTGTATTTCTTTTGATAACAAACACTTGGTCAGGATTTCGGAATTTGGAGTTTGCGAGATGAAAAAGCTTCTCTGCTCGGAGATCTGCTCAGGTTCACAATTTGAATGCTAGTGATGAAAATCATGCTGAATTTGGAGAACAGGAAAAGGACTTTTT